AACGAGACCCCCATTGGATTGATATTCTTAATCTTCCTATTGACTATTGTGCCACAGAAGATTTTTCTTGGGTTAAAGCCGGCATCGATGCTTTTGTAGCTTCGCGAAAATGTCAGGTGAAACCACAATCTTTTCCTTGGCTCACACCTATCTGTTCAACCACTATCGCCCACAGGAATCACTTCATCCAGGTGTATCAACGTGATAGTTCCGGTCACAACAGACACCCCTGTGTCTGCTCGAAATAATTGTAGATATGTCCTCAAAGAGGAAAGAGGCTAAGTTTTGTTTGCTGATACACTGAGGCACCATATAGCCTGTAACAAATTTGGTTCTCGCGACTACTAGAATCTCTGTAATAGTGTGTTAAATAAAAATAAATCTATCCCTCCTCTCTTCTCTCAACTTGAGGTGTTAGCATCTACCGATGAAGCAAAATGCTTTGCTCATAAATTCTCTTTAAATTCTAATCTTGACACATCTAAAGTATCTTTACCTTACTTTCCACTTAGAACTGAGTCTCTTTTGAGTGATATATATATATATATATATATATATATATATATATATATATATATAATTATTTATTATAAAAAATTTTTTTTAACATAAATATGTTATAAAATCACTACAAAAATAGCCATTTTGTTTCAATACACTCGGTGTCTTATCAAGTGATGATGTTGAATATAAAATAAATGGTTTTAAAAGTTTCAAACTAATTAACGATCCTTCGGTAGGGGAAAACATTGTTACAAAAGCTAGAATGATCAATTAAAACCCAATTATAGGAAGATTCAAAAGCTTGACAACGAAATCATGTTATAATAGCTATTCAGATCTTTAAAATACGGGTAATATTAAAAAGAATTTATTCTAACCAATAATTATTAAATTATATGATAAAATTAGATATTAAAATTAAAAACCGCCAATTTTAAAATCCAAATTTAATCACTATTAAGTTTAAAAACTATAAAATTACTGAGGAGAAAAGAAAAAATACATATGTTATTCAATTTATTTCTTCGTTGAAATTACGTTAGAACAGACGCTACAATATCCGGTCATTTGACAATACATGTATATATATTTTAATCCCAAGTGTGTGAATGGGGTCTTAAACTCACGCGCAAAACAACACAAACACAATCAGATTATAATACATAAGCAGCCAGACATATTTAGATATATATACACACACAAAAAAAGCGACGAGACAGCCCTTTATGAAAAAAGGAAACGGGGAAACCAACACCTACACACACACACACAATTAAAAGTGAATGCACTCTCCATACACATAGACACCGATAAATACATGTACACACATCCACAAACATTAACCTTGACAATCAGATACCACAACCAATAAATATTTAAGACTGAAAGTATCATTAAACAAAAATAGTAATTGTTGGTTATTGGAATTCATTCCGTATACACCAATTATATACTTGGTTATATATATATATATATATATATATATATATATATATATATATATATCCACAGTTTCTGCAATCATCTCTAAACTGGATCCTTGTAGGCGTGATGGTATCCATGTAATATTCCTTAAGAAGTGTGTTCCTGGAAAGGCTTCTGTTCTCTATAAAATGTACAATGAATACCTTGCTGCTTCCTGTTTTCTTGTTTGTTGGAAATCTGCTGTAGTTCTAGTCTTTAAGAACTTTGGCGAGTCCTTCTATCAGCCTATTAGCCTTAGATCTTTTGCTATTAATGTAGGTGTCCCCATCGCGCTATCTAAACCTACGTTGTTCATAATCTTCATCAAAGATGTCATCAGTTCTTAACTTGGTATCTATCCTGATGAAACAACTATTTACTCCTGTCTTAATAGTAAGTTTGATCGGTTCGATAAGGTCAAATTGGCAGCTGATCTATAAAATGATCTACAATCTGTAGGGACAATCTAATTGGGACAAGGAATCTTTTTTTAAAACTTTAACACCTCCAAAAGGAAAATTCTCTCTTTTAATCGCCCGAGAGAACCCTTTTTGCCTTTAATAAGCATGGTTATTGCTAACCTCCAGGAGAGTTACTCATTGTGAAAACGTTTCCGCTGACATGGAGCGGAAAAATTATATTGAATCACATGCTAGGTCTGCTGCTGTGTCGTGTTAGACAATTTTTCTTGTCAGAATCTATCTTACATATTTATAATTTACCATTCGTTCATGCATTGAATATTACTGCTACATCTGGTCTGGTACCTCTGCTATGCAGTCAGAGATTCTTGATAAAACACAAAGACAGGCCACGAGCATTAACAAAATTAATGCAGCAACATGGCAAAATATAAAAAGCTGATTATTTTCAGGGATGCTACTCTATGGCCTACTGATTCAAAATCCATAAAGTCCCCAAAAGTCCCTAGTGAGCTAAATGTTCGATAGTCCTAAATCCAAGATGGCCCTCTCCGCTGAGGTGACACATAACTTTTTAATCATTCAGCTCACAAACCTGTGTAATACTTCTTTTCTAACTGATTTGATGATGAGAAATTCAATTATTACCTTATTTTTAAGATATAGGGACGGCCTGACCTAAAAAATAAATTATTAACCTAAACCGTATAGCGAAAACGCCATTTTACTATAGGTAGAATGAATATCATAAGACAATCTATGCTGCGGGGTCTGGTGAATCTATACAAACAAGGTGCAGCTGCTGCTATTCTACGATCTTGTTGAATTTGAGTTTCATGAGTGCTGCTGAAATTGTACAACGAGAGAAGCGTTCGTACAATTTAACCCGATACAGTTGGAACACATTTCCGTACAGTTTAGTCCTGATTTTCTGCGCATGTATCTTTTACCACATCCTGTCTTACATCCACATGAAATCATGCGTAAAATATGAGGAGGAACTGAGTCTTTGTCATTAAATATTGGATTTAGCTTGCCATCACACAGCTGTCAGCCCCACTTGATTGGCTCCAATTGTCCTGGATTCCCTCGCCACTCCTGAACTGCGAAGTAGGCACGATATGCATGGGATTTGGCTGCTGAGGATGTTGGTGGAAGGCTGACAATGTTAAATGTACGTGTTCATCTTCTTCATATACAAGATAAACTTCAGCTTGTCTCGAGTTGTTGAGCAAGCATTTGTATTGTGAGACCGGAACCACCTACAAAATAGACTCTTCCAGGTCTATATTAAGTATGCGACACAACACTCTAGACACAGAGACAGCCGCGTACGACTACCAGTATTGGACACTAACATATAGTAAGCTCCGCTTACACTATCTCTGTAACCTGTTGTTAATATATCTTTCTTACATCTAATCCGTGTTCCGTGTTTTCCTTCTGTGGTCCCAAATTTGGGCCCACATCAATTTACACAATGCACCTTCAGAAGAAACATCTCACCAGCTCTGGCAATGTCATCATATGTTGCGTCTAGCCTTTTGAAGACGTCAAGTATCTGCCAGTCCTCTCCGATAAGCACTTTTAAAGCCTTCCTTTACTCGATATTGTAAAGTTCGGATACCGAGTCACACCCAGTAATTGTATGAGCAATAAACAGGTGATCTCTTGCTTATAGATGCAGTGCTTGTTAGATACTGATATTTTCAGCAATATTATAATAAATAAATAATGTTTTTATTCAATCTTTAAAAAATAAACTTCATTGTTTTTATGGGTTTTTTTTTCTTTGTCTGTTACAAAATACTAAATTTAAGAATTTAATTATTATTTTGAAAAAGAGTAGAATTTAGTTTTGAAAAGCGATTATGTTTAAATTTCAAGTAATATTTGTAATTGAAAAGAAAAAAAAAACTCTAGCTAAATAAAAATTAGCAAAGACAGACATGAGTTACGGTCAACATTTGTCGTGATGAATATTTGTTTTACGAATTTAACTATATTTTATTTAACTTAATTTTCGAAAGAATAAGGCTCACTATTTAGTAGTAATTATCTGCTAGACTAGGTTGCTATTACACCACTCGCAACACGCACACACACATAGAGTTTTATTCAACTTGTAACAAATTTTACAATACTTGTAAAAAACCTGTAAGGTCAGCATTATTTAAAAAGGTAACTATAAAAATTTTTGACATTTTTTATTGATCAAATCAGAATATTTGTTGTTTACCGTAAAAATCCTTATTTTGTTTTACCTTATTCTAAGAGTTCATAATCGCCGAAACCTATTATTCTTCATCGACTGCTTACAAATATTTTACAGAGGTGACAATTTTGTATTCATGTTGAAATAGCTTTTTTTTTGTCCAAAATTGCTTAACAAATAGGAGTAGATAGGTTCGGCTATCGTCTGGTTCACACGCTTACCTGGTCTTTTGAACTGGAGTAGAAGTTTATCCTTTGTTTCTTGTTTAGGATTGGTTTTCCGGCTCCTTCTAAAGTCTATTTCAACTCTATACTCCTAACGTCTACGCCTCAACTCTGAAAAAGAATTCTATTTATTTTTACTTTCTACACTAGGTTCGCCTATCGTCCAGTTCATTGTCCTTACCGGTATTTTGAACAGAAACAGAGTTTTTCCCTTTGTTTCTGGTTCTTTCTAAAGTCTTCACATTCTTTTTCACTTCCAGTCACCCTTGCCTCTTAGTGGCATTCTCGTCTTACTTGAATTGATTAAAAAATACTTAGTAAAATTCTATTATCTTTATTCTGATATTTTTCTGACTTCCTTTCGTTTTCATTCCTTTATTTGATATTTCATTATTTTTATTATTAATCTTGTTTTATTACCTGTTTTCTTGTCTCTCCTAGACAATAGTCTTTTGGGGAATTTTTAAAGTAGTCTTCTAATTTCTTTGTATTGTCCATGTCTTTATATACTTCTGTCTTGATATTTACCAAGCCCTCTCTGTACGGCTATGGGTGAAATGGTAAAAATGAAAGTAAGAGGATTCCGATACTCCAGTCTTCAAAGGAGAGTGGATCAATCCGTTATAAAAATCAAACATTGACTTTCTGCCTTTTATCTGATCCCGAATACAGATCACTGGCCCATCTATTAAACCAATCAAGCAGGTATTTTCTCAATCTTATTTTCATATCTGTCTCTCGAGCTCGGCTGTTCGTGTCTTTCGATTTAAGTTTGTCTCATTAAGTGGCTGAGACAAACTCTGTTTACCTCAGTTCGATCAGTTCGCGACTCCCGACTTCTTTCTGTCTCAATCTATTCGTGTCTGTTGACCAAAGTTTGTTTGTTATAATCTCTTAATGTTTTCTGATCTTCCTTTACCTCAGTCCATTCGTGTGTATGTATCTCGATCTGTCTCAATCAGTTCGAGTCTCCCGAAACCTACCTGCCTCAATCCATCTGCCTCAGTTTTTTCGTGTCACTCGATCTAAGTTTGTCTTAGTCTTATAGTGTCTTCTGGTTTCTTTTTACTTCTGTCTATTCGTGTCTATGTATCTCAGTCTAATCGTGTCTCTTGATATCAGTCTATTCATTTTGTCGTTTTTTTTTTTACATCTTTTGATCTCAATTCGTCCCTATTCCTGTTCAGTTTTCAGTACAAATAAGCAGTATTTCCAACACTGAATACAAATTTTCTATCCCTACAACTACAAAGAATAAATATTACATTCTTTTTACAATTAATTCTTTGGATATTAACAAAAGTTAGCTCACTTTTACAGAAAGCTACAAACGTGGGATAGCAAGGAACCCATCTATTGTTGAACTCAATAGAGTATGGCAGCCACAAGATAGGCTTGTTAAACAATAGGCACTTGCATGTCGCTTATCGATTCATCGAGCCTTTTGAAGATATCAAGTATCTACCAGTCCTCTCCGATAAACACTTTTAAAGCCTTCCTTTTCCCGATATGGTAAAGTTCGGATACCGAGTAATACCCAGTAATTGCATAAGCAACAAGCAGGTGATCCCTTGACCTTGGCTGCAGTACTTGTTAGGGTATCTATGATAGTGCTATCTATAGCACGGATGCTATAGATAGCACTATCATAGATACCCGGCGTTGCACGGAAGATCTCTGATTAATAGTTTATTATTGACAATTTAAGCCATCTTATGGAAAATATTTTTATTCATTCTTTAAAAAGTAAACCTCATTGGGGTTTTTTTTGTGGGGGGGTATGTTGTTACCAAATAACTAAATTTGGGAAAATACCACACTACATATACCACGCTCTTTGGCTTAGGTAGCTGAGCACCCCCATATTTTGTATTCAAAAAACACTTTATTTTTCGATTTAAATACTGCTGTTTTCAAACAAATTAAACTTAGATAAAAGTTCATTAACCTCTTTTCAAATTATTATTAATAAAAAGTTAATAAACGTAAATTAAGAAATATTAAAACATATTTAATTTAATCATTTTTCCAAGCAAAACTATAGCGAGCTCTACTTCTTCGAAAAATAATTATTTACTATTTATTTTGGAAGGGAATTTAGATGTTTTTTTTTTTAAGTTAAGTTTTACTTTTAAACATTAATTACTAACTATTTTGAAAGCGAGTAGAAGCAAGATACACTGAGAATTTAGTTTTGATAAGCGATTATGTTTAAGTAATATTTGTAATTGAAAAAAGAAAAAAATAGTTAAATAAAAATTAGCAAAGACAGACATGACTTAGGGTCAACATTAGTCGTGATGAATATTTGTTTTACGAATTTAACTATATTTTATTTAAATTAATTTTCGGAAAAATAAGACTTGCTATAGTTTTTTGTATTAATAATACTTTGTTTATTGATATTTGCTAAACTTGGCTTAGTCTGGTACATGTGTGGGGCATCAAGTAAGAATAGGACACATTGCAGTAGTAACTGTGTACGAGACTTAACTTATTAAATGCTACTCTCCAAAGAGGCGTTATACCTCCATCCGTTTATCGTCGCTTTTAAATATTTTCCCATTTGTCTCCCTTATTTTTTTGCTGTTGTTTAACTTTATATCATGTTTTTTTATTTTGTCTTTCTTCCTATTTTCTCATTTTTTCTATTTTGTTTCGTTTTTGCGTGTGTGTTAGAATTCTTTCTTTCTTTCAGTTTATGGTAATTTTCTTCTGACTGCTCTTTGCTTTCCCTTACAATTTTCTCTATTTTCCTCTCCTTTCTTTTCTTTTTTCTCTTTGACTTTATATCTTACTTTTCATTCTATTTTCACCCTTTTTCTATTTTGCTTTGATTTTTTTCGTGTTAGATTGATTGATTGATTGATTAATTTCTTTCTTTCTTTCTTTCCTTCTTTCTTTCTTTTCCAATTTCTGATGATATGATTCTGTCTGTTCCCTTTGCTAACTCTTTCCCTTTTTTTCCTTTTTTTCTTTTTTCATCAAAAAGTTTAAATATATTTCTACTTTCTCAACTTTTCTGTTTTATCACTTTTCTTTTCCTATTCCTCCTTTTCTTTTTTTCTTTCTGTGCTTTTCTTTCTCTGTCTTTCATTCTTTCCCTCTTTCGTTAATTATCACCACCGACGCGCTTATCTTTCTCTTTGTTCCTCCTTTCACCACTTCGCGTTTCTTTCTCTCTTCTTTCTTTTCAAGCTTTTATTTGTTTGTTTCTTTCTATGGCCTCCGTTCTCTCGTTAGTTGATCCAATCATACAGCAGGAATATCTTTCATTCATCCATTCGTCCGTTCAGCTATTTAGATCCTTTCTGGGGCGATGGAGTTAAGGGATAGATTTATGCATTTACCAAGTACAATTTTTACGAAATCGAACGCAGCAGTAGACGAAACAGGAATTTGAAAACGGTTCGCCGATGGCCGCAACGCTTCTCGCACCCATCGAATACGATCACCAAGAAGAAAAAAAGCGTATCAGGCTTTTTACATTTTAAGCTATCATCCTACATCGAACAAAATGAAAGAGAAATAAATCACATAAAATTATGGAAGTGTAAAAATAGCATAAAGAAAATGACTCATTTTTTTTTCCCAACATCTGTAATTGTCGTTGTAAAATCTAAGTAAAATAACGTTGAAGTATTTATTCAGGTGAAAAGTTTATGGTTACAGTGGAAAACACAGATCTATTTATATCTGACCTCACCTCTAACGAAAGTTAATCAAGCGTATGCCAGGTCGAATGTTTATCTGCAAGCTCTAGATAATACATGTGAATTAAGTAATAAAGACTAGAACATTCTTGTTACCTACTTATAAATAATTCTTTACTTTTCCTTTTCTCTCTTCTTTTCTTTTCTATTCAATTTCAACAAGAAAGATCAAGTGAATTAACAATAGGTGTGACAACTGGGATTTGATACTTAAGCAAGCTATTCTTCCATAACCTGGGGAATTAGTCACTCGCATATTCTTCTCGTGTACCATCGTTAGATGTCAAAGACGAAATATCTGTGTCACGGTATCTGGAGATGACAGGAAACACATAGTTACGCAATCATGCTATTTGGTAAAGTTTATTTACAATCGTGTGACCTCGGTCCGAATTTCACCATGGCCGATATATCAGGTAGGTGGCATTTTGTTGTTATCGGCCTGGGGAGCCTATCCCAGCGTTTTGCCACCTTTGGTGAGTGCCCCAAAACCATACCACTTGTGAGAGAAATTGGGTAGACGAAACTGTTCTATAATAGTTGTGCTAGCACGAAGTACAAGTCATCGTGACCGAGGTTTTAAATTTAGTGGTCTTGTTCAAAATTGATCCTGCCAGATGATGCGCTATCTCCCAGAAACTGTAACTAATGTCCGCTCAAGATAGTTGCATAAGTAGGCTCTGTGGTTGTTGAACCAATATAAATGTACCTAGAGCTAACACTTTCGCACCGGCCCCTCAACCTCCGGCGTCTTACTCTCTGGGTTGAGGTGTCTACTCGGTCCTAACCGAACTTAAGGGAGAAGCCATAGGTCCCTGAGCATCCGTAGATTATTCGACCGGCCCGCTGGTTTTATCCTGCTTTCTACCCACGTTGTGATTTGTTTTATTCAGAAAGCAGAAGTGATGTCCGTCCATTCACGGTCGACTGAAGATGTAGACACGGCTGGGGAGTCTGCACTAAGAAATTTAGAATGCAACAAAAAAAAAAAAAAATTAATATCTGCAGAAAGCCGGACAAACAAATATTCAATGGTTGAATTGTAAATGTCTTTTATATAGCAGAAAAGAGTAGTAGAGAAAAGAAACGGGTTACAGAAAAGAAAAGAATTTAACGTAAAAACTTATACACTGGATTAGAGAGAGAGAGAGAGAGAGAGAGAGAGAGAGAGAGAGAGATTGTATGTGATTAACTTGTTGTTAAATCGTCTCAGAACGATATATGACTCTTGCGATGGAGGGATAAAGATTTCTGTGCGGGGCTTAAAGTTATAGTGGTGTTCCTCCTCCCAACGCTTGCCCGGGCCAATTCTCTCTTCTCTCTTCAAGAATTTTCTCCAGTCTGCCTTTTTCAGCATTACGCGTTTATATAGATAAACTCGGCTGGTTATAACTGACCCTCGCTCCTACTACTTCGCACGCGATTATCACGGAATTATGGCTGCTTCAAGCAAAATCATGTGAATTCCAAAGTTCCTTCTAGCTTACTTAGCTCTATTTCAATTTTTAATCGATAAAAATTATTTCGACCATTTTCTTTGTTTTCTGATGACCCAGATTCAATGGGTACAACTTCTGCCCTAGATCAGATTTCCCCATCAGTAAACAAAATGCTCTGATTTAATTTCGCTATTCAAATTTACTCCAATTTCACTAAAAAAAATATACGTGTTTGTGTGTGTTTCCCAGACTCTCTCTTTCTCTCTCTGCAATATTGATTTGATAGCCGCCCTAGCAGGCAGGCATATTTGCTAATGAGCAGTTAGCTATTATTAGAGCACAAGGAACACATGCTGACAATGTAGAAATTCGGATTACATATTTTAAACATACAGTAGACATTGTTTCATTTTTCTCGGCGTCTGTAGTTTATGATTAGAGTTTCTTCTTTCTTTTTATGTGGCATGTCCTTTCAGGACGTAGGCGATCATGGCTGTCCACCTCCCTCTATCCCTTGCAGCTCTCAACAAGTTCCTTCCCCTTGCTTCCTCCCCTAGACCACGTTCTGTCATCCACTTGCTTAAGCCCGCCAGGTATGTCACGCGTTGTTTCCCCTTGTCTCTCTTTCCCTCTATTCGACCCGTGAGTATCAGATTCTTCGTTCCTCATTACATGTCCCAGAAACTTCAGCTGCCTCTTCCTGATGTTAAGTATATGCCTCCTCCTTGTTTACAACCTCTCTAAGACCTCATCAATGCTCAAACGCTCGGTCCATGATATCCTTAGCATCCTTCTAAATTAAAAAAAAAAGCCAGTATCAGTTTCCGTTGACACAAGAAGAATATGTCTCCGAGTCATACACTTATTATGCGATGTTAACAAGATTTGTTTATTAAATGGAAATGCTATCCAAATAATTTAGAATCTAAATCTAGTAAATGTTTGATTTGTTTTTAATGAGTTATTTAAAACTAGAAAATATTTTTAGACTGTAAGAAATTTTTGGAGATAATAATAACTTGCAATATAAGTCGTACTAATTAATCCATATCTATGGCGGAGAAAAAGTGTATTTATATCTTTCCCAAGTATATTTGCGCGTAAGTGGATATAACGAACCCGACTGGAATTGAAACTCAGTTTGCGGATTTCCGATTTTGTGTCGTTATCTAAGTTTACAACACCTAGTATTCACAAGCTGTTACCCATCTAGTTACTAGCTAGGTTCGCCGTTGCTTAGCTTCAGTGATCGTACGAGAACCGTTGTATCGACATATGGTCGTAAGCCTAAACCTAGTAAACGAAACAAGTAGTTCGTTCCACTACACGAGTACACATTTTCTTTTAACGTTTCATTATCTGTTTTCTTCTCCATTTTATCATTGTACCGTTTTCTTTCTCTTTCATTGTTAGATTATTCATGGATAATAATCTTTCACTAGAAAGACCCGTGAAAATTTAACGGTTTTTTTATTTGAAATTTCTGATGAATTTTAAATTAATTCTTCAGTTAATGACTGAATAAGCTCATGGCGAGTTGTACGACAATAATATATCCATAGAAATTCCTTTATCGCATCGTTACATATCTGAGCTCAACAACTTTAAGAAAATATTGCAATAGCAATCATAAATATGAATGCTGGTCATAAGTGGGTACAAATGAAATGATTTGAAATTTAAGAAAACTTTTTCCATTTCACTGAAACAATTGTTAAGCACTTCTATCTTGCTTGCTTCTTTAACTTTGTTTTTTTTTATTTATTTTTCTCTCATTTTCTTACTGAAACCAAGTAGCGTCTGTTCCCCTCTTTCCACGCGATCAAAACGAAATAGTCCTTTATTTATAAAGTATTGGCAAGCTACGTTAAACAAGTCTTTCTTTCTTTTGGAACTTTTATCGCGGTCACTATCACTTTTATCGCGGTCACTATCACTTTTATCGCGGTCACTATCACTTTTCGACCATTTGGTTAATATCAAAGTTCACTTTCTCTTCTTACCAACTTAATCTGATTCTTTCTCTCCACTTCTATCTTCCCCTCTTTGTTTCTTTCTTCCATTCTTTCTTTTTTTCTTTCTTTCTTTTGTTTTTTCTTTCTTTCATTTTCTCATTGAAACCAAGTAGCTTCTTTTCCCCCTCTTTCCCCCCGATTAAAACGGAATAGTCCATTATTTACGAGGTATTTGGCAGGGCGTATCGATCGTGAGAACTAACAAAAGGAGGAACAAACAATTATCCTTGTTTAGCTCACCATAACCCGTAACAACTTCTCTTTCTTAGCTTTCATTTTCATTCGTTCTTTTTCATTCTCTTTTTCTTTTATACATTTCTTTCCTCGTTAATTTATACTAACATCTCTGTTCCATAACAGTGTTTATATTTACACATTTCATAAATATGTAACAACTTTTATGGTAATGCTTCAATGGAACTTCCTATCTTTTCACTCCTGTTTTGTTCTGTTTTGCCACCTTAATGAGTTCACTGCATAAAGTGTCCAATTGGAACACGTGGTTTTTCTAAAGCCATAGCAATAACGATATGTCACATTCTTCTGACCAGTCAACTATGACAAAGGATTATGTATTCGCTCGTTTCTTTTTTAATGCCTACAACAAGCAAAGTTTTCAGAAACTGTCGTTAGTGTGTTTTAAAACTAGGGTAAAACAAATCAGCTTTCTAGCAACTTAAAAAAAATAAAAAATAACTTAACATGAATCATTCGCTCATGGGCACATCTTTTAAGTTGAAATAGTTATTCCGTGTGGAACGTTTTTCTTTCTGTCTTTCTTTCTTTCTTTATTTATTTATTTTCGTACATATTAAGTTTACAAATCATTTTTATCTATCTCTATGTAGTCTTTTCTCTCTATATCACACTCTCTCTACCTCTCTCTCTTTCTCTCTCCATCTCTATCTATCTATCTATCTATCTATCTATCTATCTATCTATCTATCTATCTATCTCCACACACACACATACATATATCTTTATTTCTTTCTCTAACTTTCTCTCTCAATGTCTCTTTTTCTTTCTCTCTCTATCCCCTAAACATACAATGTTAAATAAATAATACAATGAGATTTCATGAGATTTAAGCGAGATTACCCGTTTTCTTAAACGGAAACATTCGTCATTCGTTGCCCAAACAGTTCGTGATGGTTGAAATTTATAAAATCTTTCACTTTTTCAGAAAAATTGGTTTACTCAGGTCGAGTGACTGTTATCGATCTTTCTACTATTGATGAGGAAATTGTAACGTTTTCTTTCTTATTTTATGTCATTATTTTATTTTCTAGTTACAAGTGCTATTCATTTTAGTTTTTGATATTGTTAAAATCCCTCAAGTGATGTCATTCAGTGAAATTCTTTGTTTGTGAATCTGTAGTGACAGTTCATGAATTTGATGCAATATAGTCCTCTCTTAGACCGACAAAGTTCATTCGATCGAACTTATTTTTAATCATTGATCTGAGAAAGTGGTTATATATAGCTGATGGTTTAGACATTTCTGAACGCGTTGGATACCAAGCATGACATCCATATCTATCGTGAATATTTAAGAACATGACTCAAGGTTAATTTTTGGTTTGTAGCATCTTGTAGTACTACCCATGGCGCTACTGCAGCTTATATATCGGAAAAATAAATTGGAAGTTGACGCCTGCAATCTCGAACGTTTACGGGACGATAACACTACAAACAACAAAAAAGGGGGCAACTTGGTAGTGCATTATCCTGAAATTTATTCCGTTCAGGATCAAGCGACAATAATTCAAATATGAAGGTTAACAATGTAAGCAAGACAGCGAAGGAAACAAGCGACAGACGCTCGATGTTTATAGAAATAAGAAAGAGAAACTTTATTTACAATATAAACAAGTTATATGTAGACAAAATGGAATAATACATGAATTGCACCAATAATTGCATTAAGGGTTATGGGATTTTCCCCAGCTATTTTACATCAATAATGTAATAAAGTAATTTTGTACTTACAAGCGGGACGTAAAGGATAACTCAGCTATTTTCATCTTAGCTGCTGTATCTTTTTTATTAAAAATTTCATACGGCCACTAAGCGTCTTAATAATTTTTTTAAAATTTAATTTATCCCTTTAAAATCTCGTCTTACTCTGTTGGATATTAAAAAAAAAAAAAGATTTGGAGTCAAAGAACCGCATTCTTCGTGTTTTTCTTTGTCATGGAAACGATCACGCCTGCTGGTGTTGGATCCTTCTTGAATTGAGGAAGGAAGGAAAAATGACGTCACTCTTCCTTCTACCTAAAGGCACTGATCTGATAAAATAAAAATTGCCCGAAAGGCGCGAAATATCGTCTTTTATGCGCATTTCAAGGAGTGGCTAGACTCAAATGAGTCAATTTGCATACGCACGAAAAGAACCTATATTGACAAAATAAATAGATCAGTTACCTTTTCTTTCTTTTTCCCGCTAGTATAGAAAAATCAACACAAAACCAGGCGATAAAAACGTCTACAATAAAAAAAAAATTAAACAACACGTTTGTTAAAATTTTGACACTTGTAATCATAATTTTTTAGTTTAAAAATAAAATACAGTGTAATACATAATAAGATTACATACATAAATATAACAAAATGTTTATTTTACAAGAACAAAACATATGAGATTCACCAGCGGCTCGTAGAAGAAGTAGTCAACTGCTAGAAGTTAGTCAAGTGAATTCCACAATGAATCTCCAACTGCAGGATATCTACCAACAGTCCCACTCGATCAGATGTGGCACAAGGCCGAATTTCATGTGGGGTACTGAGCCCGTAGGTAATGCAGAAATTTTTTAAAAGATCGTGAGTCGTCATTTATGTAAACTGGTTTGTCGTTGGTTTAACAAAGCAATTTACATACACATTTTCCGTGAAAAATAATCAAGCAGATGCCACAATCAATTAAACGCAGGCTATTTGACAATTCTTCCAACAAAACTCTCTTCAAAGAAGCCAAAAGAGATAGTGAAACAGGCCTAAAAGATACTGGATTTTCGGCGACACTCAAATACACACCACACAGCGCAAAAAATAGGCCAATAGGAAAAGAAACATCATATGGTTTAACCCACCGTACAACAAAAACGTGAAAACATAGGGGAAATATTCATTACACTCATACAAAAGCACTTTCCCCAATCTAGTACGCTTCAAAAGATATTCAATAGAAACACAGTAAATATAATCTACACTTGCACCGAGAACATGACACAAATAATAATTAAAAAAACACAACAGAAAAATAACAAACAATTCATCCACACAACTCAAACCAACCTGTAACGCCAGAATAAATAACGAATGTCCCTTAAATGGAAATTGCTTACAAAACAGTGTAATATACCAAGCCAGTGTAAAATCAGCAGATAACGAAAAAATATACATAGGAGTAACTGAAGGACCCCGGAAACAGAGAAACTGTCACACAAAAGATCCTTTACAAATAGTAAATACGCGAACAACCCAATACTTTATAAACGTATATGTAAAATTAAAAACAAAATTACAACAAAACACAGGATTATATATATAGACGGAGAGAAAAATGAAAGAAGAGTAGGACTGATACTAGATCAAGACATAAAAAAATGCGTTCTGGGATACTGCCAGTCATCTGATAAAATTATTGTCGTTAAACTGAAAGGAAAGCCTTCCAACATATCCATCATAATTGTGTATGCACCGACAGCATAAAGTACAGAAGAAATTGAAAACTTTTCCTCTACGCTAGACAACACCAAACTGAATGTAAATCTCAAGAAATCATAATCGTCAAAGGTAACCTGAATGCCAAGGCAGGCAACGAGAGGGATGATGAAATAGTGGACAAATTCAGACGAGGAGCCCGTAATGAATGCGGAGAAAAATGGATTCAGTAGTGTACGTTGGATGAGCAGATTTCAAGAACACCTAAGTTCAGGACCAATATAGGCATAAATAAGCCCAGGAGGAGAAACGAAAAATCAATTCAAATACATAACTATCAACAAGAGATTCAGGAATGCAGTTGTACTCTGCAAAACCTATGCAAGTGCCGACTGCAGAAGCGATCACCTTCCAGCTACGGAAATCGAAGAGGCCTAATACAGCACCCAAATAGTAATACGATAGACACTTGAACGACCCAAATCTGAAGGAGAAATATATGGATAGTGTTAAAAGCAGATAAAATGGGCAAAATGAAAATGGAAACTTGAAGTGGGACACATTAAAAGAAGCTTTAGTAACATTAGCAAACGAGATTATCCTAAAGCAAAATAGACGAAGAAAAAATAAATGGATGACTGGTGAGATTCTGGACATGATGAAAAGGAGACAGAAAAACATGTCAAGATACGGAACAGAATATAGGACACTGAATAAAGAAATTAGCGGCAAATGCAGACAGGCTAAAGAGAAATGGCTCAACGAAAAATGCACAGAAATAGAAATAATGAGTACCAGTGATGAAGCAGATAAGCATACAAAGTAAGAGAACTAACAAGATAAAAGGCATGCTCATCAAAAGGATGCATAAAATCCAAAGACGGAACGATGATTTTAGAGAAAGAAAAATACTTCAGAGATGGAAGGAATATGTCGGAGAACTCTTCCAAGATAAAAGAGAGCAACTCGCAATACACAGAAATATCGACGGGCCGGAAATATTAAAAACCGATGTGGAATCTGCACTGGTCAAATTGAAGAGAAACAAAGCGGCAGGGCCAGACGGAATTATAAGAGATTCTGACTGCAATAAATGATTTCGCCATAGACAAGATTACGGAAATAATAAATGAAATCTACAACAGTGGCGATATACTGGAAGACCTAACGAGATGTATTTTCATAGCACTAACAAAAAATCAGGTGAAAACGAATGTGAACTCTATCGAAGAATCAGCCATATAAGAAAACTCCTCATCCGAATTTTGATGAATAGTGCGCACAGAAGAATCAGACCAGAGATAGGAGAAGAGCAGTGTGGCTTTCAAAGACTCTGGAACAATGAACGTGATATTTATAATCAGAATGTTATCACAAAGAGCAATACAAATACAGAAGTGTAACTGTTTTATACGCAAAAGCATTCGATAAAGTACGCCACAAAAATTTGTTGGAACTGCTCAGCAACCTTAACATATTTGAGAAGAACATTAGAATAATCAAGAACCTATTCTGGCAACAAGATGCTTGCATACGAATAGAAAATGAGTTCAACAGATATACAAAAACAGAAAGGAATGTAAGACAAGAATGTGTTTTCTCACTGGTGTTATTCAACCTATACAACGTGACGACTCTGAGATTACCAGGATTACTACCAGGATTCATTATTGGCGGCCATAATATTAAAAACATATGATATGCAGATGACAAAGTGTTAACGGCAGACATGGAAAGAAAATCACAAAAGCACAAACAGAATACAGTGAAGAAAAGCAAGAAGAAATGACTAAATATAAACTTCAAGAAGATAGAATGCATGGTTGTTATCAAAAGGATGAGCCCAAAATGCAAATTACAAATCGAAGATGCCAAAATCAAACAAGTACAAAAATTTAAATATCTGTGAAGTGTTCTAACAGGGAATGGAAAATGTGACACTAAAATCCGAAGACGCATTGGTATAGTCAAAGATGCGTTCCAAAAGTTAAGCAGAAGATTAAAAGACAGAAAAACTTCATTAGAGACAAAGAAAACATTACTGAACTGTAATTACATGATATCTGTCCTCCTATATAATAGAGAATGCTATACAATCTCCTCAAAGATGAGGACGACACTTGAGAGAACAGAAATGTGGTTCTACAAAAGGATGCTCGGGATACTATGGACCGAATATATGGGCAACGAAGTGGTTTTAGAGAAAATTGAAACAAAAGGGCAACATACAAGAAGAGACAGTGGAATATTCTAGGGCACCTAATGCGGAAAGGATGCTTGGAAAATCTGATATTCACAGGATGGCAAGAGGGACAGTGGAAAAACAGCGCTTAACATACTTGAGAAAATCAATACCGGAACAGAGAAATAACGAAATGACAAAATTTACTAA